GCAAATGCAAGATTCACCGCAGTGGTGAGGTGCCCACGCTTAGGTGTAGCGACCTCTTAAATAAAATATGTCTTAATAATAACTGGTAATAAATTATGAGAACAGGGCAAATACAAGATTCACCGCAGTGATAAGGTGCTTATGCTTTGGCACAGCGACCTATAATTATTAACTTATTATTATTAATATCTGCATGAGGGCTATTTTATGTAAGCCTATTTGGGGGGAGGGTAGGGACTAAAAATGATAAAGCCAGATAATGATAATCGGGCAGTGAAAGAAACAAGTACTTCTGACCATCACTTATTTCTGCTTCCTTAAATTCTTACCATCCTCATTCTAATTTCCCTAAACTCTCATTTCATTCATATCTTTAAACTCTCATTTCAATCATCCCCTATTTACTAAATTCATGTAATTCTTTATTTTGTCATGTGTCTTGATCAGGACGATCCTCGTGATAATAACACTAATGCTGACTACGTCAGCTCGTGTGTCATTATTCTCGCTCGGATTGCTTTATTAAACCTTATATATGGAATAACATTATGGGAGACAAAAGAGAATCAGAACTAAGAGTAAAGCTACTGAATATACTAATACTAAAATCCCATCCTTATAGAAGTATTTTGTAACACAGTTGAAAATGACCTAAGATAGAGCGCTACAGATTGGGATAACCACCCTCCAATACTCATAATTTGTGGTAACGTTAGCCCGGCTTTCATTGTGCCTGTAGCGCCACCAATATGAATACTATGACCTAAATATCTTCCTTCTAATTCTGCATGAAGTGCTATTTTCTTTACTATTAAGTTCACTGCTCCAGTTGTCATGTGGTTTCTACTTACATTTACAAATAACCAATCGTTTCTTTTTACTTTTCCTCTTGAAGCTAAATAATCAAACACTAGTTTAATTGGGCAGTATATCGAGTTTGTAGGGTCAACCGGGATAAATTTTCCCTTTGCAAATTGATCAGTTTTTGATCTATTAATTCTGAATCAGCAAACTCCTTCTAGCATCTTCAAATCGCCAACTTTCAAGTTATATAGTTCACTAGGCCTTCTCATAGTATGTAGCCCCAGTGCAACTAGTGCACAATCTCTTTTCCAAATACTACATGGGGTATTGTAGGGTGGGTCGTCTACATAATTTTTTAGGGTCTCCGTTGGCAAGGGGTCACGTGGCCACGTGGCCTCCTTATTTTCTGCTATTTGTTTTGATAATTTCTGAGCTAAGTTTTGAATGTTAAAATTAAGTGTTGGATCTTTAAACCCTTTCATTTGATGGTAGTGACTAATTGCAGTTAAGTAAAATCTTGGGTTTGCTGATCTCTTAATTAAGTTTTTTCACATTAAAAACATTAGGATTGTTTCTGGTTCTGCTGGGCATGTGATTATTTTGTGGAGTTCACAAAAGACATTAAACTCTCCCACAGGTAATATAAACGTTTTTCATATGGTGAACTTGGTGTTAAAACTTTGTTTACTTTCTGTAATAATGAGTTTAAAAATAAATTTTTATAGCTTGGAACTTCCAATTTGGATTTTTCCAAGGTTCTGGTGGCAAGTTCCCATATTGACTTGGCATAAAGCTTTGGGTTGCAGGAGGGAGGTCTATTGTCTCGGTTCTTTGTTGGAGGAGGATGGGCCACCACGGTGCTGAGGACCAAACTGGGGTTATTAACATTATTGTGGCCCTGCACTGCATATTTTGTTCGAACACTTTGTGAATCAGGCCTAGGGGGGAGCAAATGTAGTTGTTTTTATTTTTCCAATTTTGCGTGAAGCAATTTACTGCTTCTGTCCCTGGGCAGTAAAACTGACTGTTGAAATAGCCAACTTTTTTTGAATAGTAACTTGCCATTTGGTCTATTGAAAATGTGCCCCACCTTTGATTTATAGACTCGAAAAGCTCTTGAGAAAGTGTCCAATCTGTTTTGTCGAATAATCGTGTTAGCTTGTCTGCTGGGTTTAATTGCAAAGGTACGCATAGGAATTCTTGAATTCTGATATTGTGCAACTCGCAAAAATTCTATACTTCTCTCATTATTTTTTTCTGCCAAGGCCTTTTTTCTCCTGACTCCATTGTCTTTCTGGCTAATCGATTGTCTATAAAAACTGTCACATAATGGTCTGCAATAACTGGAGTGAATGATTCGAGGCCAAAAAGAGTTGCCATAGACTCTAGGACTGCAATATCGGTATGCTTGTGGCAGCAATTCCAATTTTCAAATGCCCATTTTTTTTCTAAAACTGCAGACCAACCAGTTGTGGATGCATCTACAAATAGTGCCATTACTTGTGCAGGCTTCCAAGCTGGACTTCCATTCTTCTTCTTTAAATTTTTTATGGTTTAGTTTATATCTATAATTGCTTGAGATGTTAATTGTATTGGAGTATCCTATTCCCAGGGCTTTCGGTTCTCTGCATCTATTATTGAGTAAAGTTCTAAGCACTGAACTTTCGCATACTTGAAAGCTTTGTTTAAGCTTATTAATCTGCCAGTAGTTGAGGAGAGGTGACGAGCTGTAAGTAGTCTTCTGGATAAGAGTTCTTTTAGGTCGAACAATACTTCTTTTATTTTTGTTTCTGGGGCAGTAATATTTTCTAAAACTGTGTCCAATATGAACCCATAATATTTTGCTTTTTGTGTGGGTTCTAGGTGCCTTTTTTCTGCCAGGATGAACCCGCAGTCCCTTAAGTTCTTTAATATTACTTGATCTCTTATTTTTAATAATACTTTCTGACTTGGGTGAGCAACCCAAATATCGTCGACATGGTTTCTACAAAATATTCCACAGGATCTCCAATACCCTATTAGAGCTCTCATAACTTTTGAAAATATCTATACCGCTTGGCTTAGGCCAAATAGTAGTACACAATAATGATAACAACTTGTTCCAATTACAAAATCTAATAATCTTTGCGCTTTTTCTTCCATTAATATATGGTGATAACCTTCTTTCAGGTCTAATACTATTATCTACCAATTTCGTCCTACTATCCTTAAAAAGGTTGGAAACCCCTCGAATTTGAATGACTTTACAGGTAACATTTTGTTTAGTCGTCTTAGATCGATAATCAAACACTATTTCTTTGGACCTGACTTCGGCACTAAGAAAATTGTACTTACCTCTAGTAATTGTTTTGGTCTTATCCTTGAATTTGCGACAAGCACTATTGCCTTTATTTCCAATAAACGATTTATTTCTGTCTGCAACCAAGACTGTTGGTCCTGTGTGAGTGGATATTGGGGTGGGTCTGGTTGCCTCATTAAATTTAACAATCCTTTCGGAAATAAGGGAATCCCATCCTTTAACTATTTGATTATTAGGCTTGGTGGTTTCACACTTTCTATCCAATACTTTACATATTTCTTCATATGAATTCAACCCACAACTAGTATTAACTGTTGGGCCCGAGTGTAGTCACTCATATTTTGTGTTATCCTGCCCTCTATTCTCATATTTATTTTTGTATGCTGCATATCCCTTTGACTTATACCCATAACATTGGTATTGTTGTTGGTCAGAGGCTTTATTAGGATCTGAGATACAGGTTCTCGCAAAGTGGCTATAGCCTCCGCAAATGTAATATTTATTTTGCAATGTGATATCATTTTGAGACTGATAGTTGGGATGAAAAAACTTGTTTCAGAACTCGCTTTGATATTTATTATAATAGCTTGGTTGATTATTATTTTTTCCCTGTAAGTAACTAGAACTTTTTTCCATACTGTATGTCTTGTGTCGTTTATTTTTTTTCACATCTACAATAGCTTTCGCTTTCTCAATCAAAGAATCTTTACCTTTCAACCAATCATCTTGCGTATCAGGTAGGGCTGACACAATTTCCCAACCAAAACCCTCTGCTACTTGTTATGTGAACCTTCTACTTTCTATTTGCTTCTTTGCAGTGCTCAAATGATTTGTAATATCATCCACTGTCAGAGATTCCATTGCTAGATCGAGCTCTTTTCCTATGGACCTCAATGTGTTATACTTGTGCTGATCACGTGCTTTGTTGAATTTATGCTTTGGCCAGACATCTTTTATATCCGCTTTTTGCCGTGTCTTCTGAACTTGAAGCGTTACTGTGTTTAATTTGTTGTCAAAATTCAACATTGCGTTTTCTAACTTTTTAAATCCTGGTAATAATTTTTCTTCCAAAAAGACTGGAGTGTCATCACTTTCATGTAACTTTCTTTTCTTTGCTAATTTATTTGGTTGCGTTTTAGGGTCTTCTTGAAGTTCTTTATTGTATGAGCCAGTTTTTAAAGGAGTATTTTTAGCACATTCAGTGCTTTTCCTTGCCAACTCTCTCAAGGTTTGTAAGTTCTTATCGAATCTGTCTGAGGCTTCTAAATGATAACCGGAAGCTACTGACTCTATATCAACCACATTTTCTCTTGTGGTCTCTAGATTTCCTAACATTTCACCATTTTCTCTGCAACCCTCATACTGTGGGTATTCTTTTATTCTTTGAACAAGGTCTGTTTTATTTCCTTCTGATGATATACCTAGACTACGGCAAATATCTGCCAAATCATTTTTCGATAGGTTTGAATCTGACATAAAAGTACCACGACTAAATGACTAGTGACTAAAAACGATAAAGCCAGATAATGATAATCGGGCAGCGAAAGAAACAAGCACTTCTGACCATCACTTATTTCTGCTTTCTTAAATTCTCACCATCCTCATTCTAATTTCCCTAAACTCTAATTTCATTCATATCCTTAAACTCTCATTTCAATCATCCCCTATTAACTAAATTCATGCAATTCTTTATTTTGTCATGTGTCTTGATCAGGACGATCCTCGCGATAATTACACTAACGCTGACTACGTCAGCTCACGTGTCATTATTAATAGGCCCAAACTCATTAATACAATCTACTATCTATAAGCTAAACTTATTACGGTTGACGGGCCCAAACACAACACAAGAACCAAAGATATTTAAGTGTTAAGCCCGGATCTGTTGCTATAATAAACTCGTTCTTATTCAATTCAATAGTTAGTAACAAAAATTTATTTAAATCCAACGTAATAAGCAGTCTTGAACGAAAGCATTCC